CACAACGGTCCGATACAGTGACCGCATCACTGCCCACGCTGCACCTGTCCACCTGTCAATCTCACGCTCCCTCCTCCCCTCACTCCAGAACAAGACCCCGACAGACTTAAACTCCTCCACTTGAGGCAGAGACTCTCCACCCGCCCGGAGACGACAAGACGCCTTTCTCCGCTCGAGAACCACAACCTCGGATTTGGAGGAGCCGATCTTCATCCCAGACGCTTCACACTCGGGTCAAACCGCCCCAGAGCTGCAGGTCCTGGTCTGATGAAGCCAACAGGACGACATCATCTCTAAACAGCAGAGATGATCCTGTGGTCCCCAAACCGGACCCCCTCCGGCCCCTGACTGCTCCAAGAGATTCTGTCCATAAATACAATGAACAGAAAAAAAAAAACATGGAAAAAAAATCTCACACTCAATTTTGTGGCACGAAATCTTGTCCCATCTCTTATCCAAATGATAGTAGTGCAGGTGTACGGAGTTTAAAAACACAGTGGAGCTCTCCCTGTTTTACCGCCTGACATCAGACCAGAAAATGGTGTAAAATGGACCCTTTAAGTAAGAATAGATCCAGCAACTGCTCCAACCACCGCTGACACTCATCACCACATTCATACGAGGCAATGTGGGTGAAGTGTCTTGCCAAAGGACATAACAACAGCTCCTGATATTCCCATCGGCCTCCGGTCCAAGAACTAAACACATGAGATCAGGCTTTCAGTTTATTTCTGTTTCTTGTGTCACTTCTTCAGATATGATTCGTTTTTTTTTTTTCTTCTTTTTTTCATTTGAAAATACTTGTGGGCGGAGCTTTGGACAACGAGGGTCTGAGAGAGAGATCACTAAATGACTCAAACATGCACGGAGGACTGTGAAACCTCTTCAGGAATTTTTGATACGTGCAAACTCCAGAGAGCTCATCCACTCTGGGACTCGAACCACAGACCCACTGAAAACGAAGTGGACCCTTCCAATAAACAATGGTTCCATGGTTAGTCCTGGTTTAGTTCTGGTTCAGTCCTGGTTCAGTCCTGGTTTAGTTCTGGTTTAGTCCTGGTTTAGTTCCTGGTTTAGTCCTGGTTTAGTCCTGGTATTAGTCCTGGTTCAGTCCTGGTTTAGTCCTGGTATTAGTCCTGGTTCAGTCCTGGTTCAGTCCTTGATTAGTCCTGGTTCAGTCCTGATTCAGTCCTGGTTCAGTCCTGGTTTAGTCCTGGTATTAGTCCTGATTCAGTCCTGGTTTAGTCCTGGTATTAGTCCTGGTTCAGTCCTGGTTCAGTCCTTGATTAGTCCTGGTTCAGTCCTGGTTTAGTCCTGGTAGTCCTGGTTCAGTCCTGGTTCAGTAGTCCTGGTTCAGTCCTGGTTTAGTCCTGGTTCAGTCCTTGAGTCCTAGTCCTGGTTCAGTCCTGGTTTCAGTCCTGGTTCAGTCCTGGTTCAGTCCTGGTTCAGTCCTGGTTCAGTCCTGGTTCAGTCCTGGTTTAGTCCTGGTTCAGTCCTGGTTTAGTCCTGGTTCAGTCCTGGTTTAGTCCTGGTTCAGTCCTGGTTCAGTCCTGGTTCAGTCCTGGTTCAGTCCTGGTTTAGTCCTGGTTCAGTCCTGGTTCCTGGTTTAGTCCTGGTTCAGTCCTGGTTTAGTTCAGTCCTGGTTTAGTCAGTCCTGGTTCAGTCCTGGTTTAGTCCTGGTTCAGTCCTGGTTCAGTCCTGGTTTAGTCCTGGTTTAGTCCTGGTTCAGTCCTGGTTCAGTCCTGGTTCAGTCCTGGTTCAGTCCTGGTTTAGTCCTGGTTCCTGGTTCAGTCCTGGTTCCTGGTTCAGTCCTGGTTAGTCCTGGTTCCTCCTGGTTTAGTCCTGGTTCAGTCCTGGTTCAGTCCTGGTTCAGTCCTGGTTCAGTCCTGGTTCAGTCCTGGTTCAGTCCTGGTTTAGTCCTGGTTCAGTCCTGGTTTAGTCCTGGTTCAGTCTCATGCTGTGCAGTTTTCTAATAAACAATTTCTCCGGCTCATTCATCTAAACGACTCCAAGGACCAACACAAATTGAACGACTTTTTAAGATTCTCATTCACAGTCTGTGCCCTCAGGAGCCACAGGAGCCACAGGAGCCACAGGAGCCACAGGAGCCACAGGAGCCACAGGAGCCACAGGAGCCACAGATCTGTTGCCCCCCTGAATAATAAACACCAGTCGCTGCTCATTAATTTTTCAAAATCACTGAGGAGATTTTCTGAGACTGAAGTCAGATCATGATCAACATTTATACAGTTTTACAAAAGAGAGAGACGCCAGAACTGAACTTTAACTTAAAGAACCACACAGCAACAACTGGAGGGGTAAAATTTCACGGTAAAATATTTCATATTTATTTGAACACAAAAGGTCTTATTTTAACTATCTGAAAGTTAAATGTGTGTTGGAGTTGGGTTATTTGCCAGAGTTGATTTGGCTGAAGTTAATTCCACTTCCTCTAGTGTAAATTCAACAGTTTTGTTCATAATTTCATTTTAAATTAACTCAAATAAAGTGTATAAATAAAACACCTCTGTGTGTTGTTTAGTTAAATCAGGATAACTCTACAGAGTGTTATCTGTTCACTCTCAAAACATTAATATAACTCTGGATTTGGGGTTAAACAGGAACTTTGGTCCAGTGTTACTTCATGAACATTTCCAAAAATGTTAAATTAACTCTAGAACAGATTGACTCAGATAAACAGAGACGTGTGTTGGACGTCTTTGCTGGACTCTGCGCTGTTATAATCATAGTCCAGTGTCCATTTTTATTTCACAGTGTTTCCCACTTCACTCTTTAATCTGGTTTACAGTGTCCAGACGTCCCTTTTTACTCGAGACAGTCCCAGTTTTAAGTCCTGTGTCCTGTGTCCCAACAGATTTACACAAAACCACTGATTTGTCCCAGTTTTATACAAGAAATGTCACAGGTGTCTCTATTTTTGACCAATCTGATCCTGCCAACAGTAAAGAGACACATAAACTGTCGTCTGTTTTGATTCTAAACCTGAACAATTAAGCAGTCATTTAAAAATTTGAGGTAAATGGTTGCCTCACTTTTTTTTTTAAAGTTTAAAGTCTAAATTTATAATCTAAAACAAGGGTGTCAAACTCAAATTCACAGAGGCCAAAATTAAAAACTGGGACTAAGTCGTGGGTCAAACTAAATATTTATTGAAACATTTAATCAACATCTGCATGTTTTCTCTTCTTTCGATATAAATAATGTTAAACATTTTCTTATTCAAATAAATGTTTAATAATAGTTTTACTTAAACACTTAACCCAGAACAAACAGAATATAAAATAATAACAACATTTTAAATAATTTATTTCTTTATAGTCTGTCTGTAGTGGGTGAGCAGCTCTAATACAGATTAGATTTGATCTCACAGGACAAATATAATTATATCGAGGGCCAAATTTGGCCCCCAGGCCTGAGTTTGACATGTCTGTACTGGTTTAGTAAAATAAAAAAAAAATAAAAAAACTATATATATATATATATATACTCTTGGAGATATATTTATACAGCAGCCCACGATATCGACACTGTATCATCACATTAAACGATACGATATATTGTAGGGATGTAACAATAACTGAAATATCATGATATCGTATCGTCAAAGTTCTCACAATAATAATAATCATGAATCATCACGACACTTCTAAGCACTTTTAAGTCTTAATTCTTTCGATTAAAACTAAAAGTAGAATATTAACCTCCACAAAATATCACAGTAAATATCGTATCGTGAGATTTATATTGTGAAAATATCAAACCAAGAGATTTAGATATGAGCTTTCCCACGATGTCGCAATAAATATTGTACGGTGAGGTTCATATGGTGACGATATCAGATATTGTTACACCCCTAATACTTTGATATTTCGGTATTTTTGCACACTCCTAATCACGATATATCACTGAATAGATTTACGCCTAATTGATACTAAAGGTTTTCAGTTATACTTGCACGTATTTTTAATTTACAGTAATTACAGATTACATGTACTGGAGTTATGTAATCAGAGTACAAATGATGAGTAACTGTATTCAGTTACAGTTACTGTTTCAGTGAGTGGTAATTGGATTACAGTTACTTTGTTGAAATAAATGGATTACACAGAGGGATTTTCCTGTTTTCACATTTTGGGCTATTCCCTTTTTTTTTTTTTTTTTTTTTTTTGGTAATTCCACTCATTGCCGGAAACTAAACCAGGTCTAAACCAGGACTAAAGCAGGACTAAAACCAGGACTAAACCAAGACTAAACCAGGACTAAAACCAGGTCTAAACTAGGTCTAAAGCAGGACTAAAACCAGGACTAAACCAGGACTAAACCAGGTCTAAACCAGTACTAAACCAGGTCTAAACCAGGTCTAAACCAGGACTAAAACCAGGACTAAACCAGGTCTAAACCAGGTCTAAACCAGGACTAAAATCAGGTCTAAACTGGGTCTAAGCCAGGACTAAACCAGGTCTAAACCAGGACTAAACCAGGATTTAACAGGATGTGTCTCCTCGTTTTCTATCAATAATATTTTTAATTTGGTTCAGTAAAATCTGGACTTTTTATTTTCTTTTATCAGACAAAACTTCTTATGTGAAGATTTCCTCGTCTTTGCTTCTCTACAGCAAATCAAATAATCCAAAGTATTCAGATTACATTACTCACTTTAAGTAATTTAATGGATTACGTTACAAACTACATTTTGGGGTGTGTAATCTGTAATCTGTAGGGGATTACATTTTAAAAGTCACCTTCCCAACTCTGTGAATGGGTCGAGTGCTGAACAGTTTTCCGTAATTACGCACTCGAGTCACAATTTTATTCGTACGAACCGACACTAACCCAGTTTTTTTTTTTTTTTTTTTTTTTTTTGAAAACCTGATCGTTCTATAAAAATAAAAAAAAAAATCCGGTGTTAAATCGTGATGCGGACGCGTCGCTACGTCCTCGGACATGATGAAGAGCGATGAAGAGCACTCCAAACTTACTGAGGTGGTTGGGCTCGTGGCTGCCGTTCACGCGCCCGTCCTCGTGGATCTGCAGGTGGAAGCCGATGCCCACGCGACAGTAGAGCCTGCACGTCCTGCGTCCCTCCACGGCCGCGCGCCCCACTCCCACGGACGCGGCGTAGACGCACTGAGCCACGGTCACGACGTACAGCGCCACGTTCATGCTTCGTGCCGCGGCGACGCTCCTCCGCCGGCTCGTCCTCGCGGCATGGTCCCCCCCTCCCCGTGGCACGCGCTCCAGCCGCGGTCCGGGCTCGCGGACGGGGCGCGTGGATGTGCCGCTGGACGCACGGCGCGCTTCGGGTTTTACGCACGACGCGAGAACCTCCTCCAACAGATGCCTCCCGCTCTGCCCCTGTCAGTCCCTGTCACTGCCCCTGTCAGCCCCTGTCACTGCCCCTGTCAGAGGAAGAGGAGACAGCACGAGCCCGCCTCTTGTTCTTCTAAATATGTCCCGCGTAACGTAAACAAAACCCGCACTGGAACGTAACGAAGGAAAAGTATCAAGTATCTGTACTTAGACTTAGACAAACTTTATTGATCCACAAAGGAAATGATTTGGACACAGAAACTCACACATCACAATAAAATATAAAAACTAAATATAAAAACAAAGCGTAAAAATTATAAATGGTAAAAATAATTCTAAATAAAATAGAAAAAAAAAAGAGCAAAAATGGTCAAATAAGACATAATTATACACAGCAAAAAGCGGAGTGTTAAAAATGACTCACAGAATCAGTTTTAACACTTTCTCTGGGTTTATCTGAGTCCAATCTGTTCTAGAGTTAATTTAACATTTTTGGAAATGTTCAATTAAGTAACACTGGACCAAAGTTTCTGTTTAATCCAGAATCAAGAGTTTTAACGTTTTGAGAGTAAACAAAAAACACTTTGTAGAGTTATCCTGATTTAACTAAACAACACACAGAGGTGTTTTATTTTTACACTTTATTTGAGTTAATTTAAGATGAAATTATGAACAAAACTGGTTCAAACTGGTCTTCTCTCACGGGAGTTTGAAGTGGAGGGTGGGAGGAAACAAATGAACACTAACTGAAGTTGAATTAACACTAAGAGAAGTTGAATTAACACTAAGGGAAGTTGAATTAACACTAACGGAAGTTGAATTAACACAAGAGGAAGTTGAATTAACACTAGAGGAAGTTGAATTAACACAAGAGAAAGTTGAATTAACACTAAGGGAAGTTGAATTAACTTCAACCTTATCAACTCTGGCAAATAACCCAAATCAAATGCCCATTTAACTTTCAAATACTTAAAATAACACTTTTTGTGTTAAAAAAAACAACAACAACTTATCAACTTATTAAGTACTACTTAAGTATTTCAGGCAGATTTTGAGCTCTAATAAAAGTTCAAATGTGGTGGGTTTGATACAGATTTGTGCAGAATTTTGTTCAACGGAAACAATCTTTTTTTTTTTCCAGCTGTTTTGATTTTTTTGTGTATTTGTGTTGCTCAAAGTACAAATGTGTTTAAAATAAACTCCACAATCTTTTGAAAATTTCTTAAACTATAATAAAAATAGTTTGACTTTTTATTCCTGTTTGAAAGTGAAGTAGAAAGTCCAGACACTTGCTCTCAAATGTAGTGAAGTAAAAGTAAAAATGTTTCAAATGTACTTAAGTGAAGTACAAATACCTCAGACGTACACTCCAGCAGAGTACTGTGTACTACTTGTACTTGGTCACGTCCCTCCGCTGTTTCCTCCAAACTCCAAAGAGCCGTGTTTTGTGTGTTTGTTATTGGAAGAGTTGTATTGGAGCGAGGAGCATCCATCATACAGACGTGTGTGTGTGAGGGTTCAATTCCCGCTGTGGAACACTGCTCCTGTGTGGGGCTGTGACTGATGAGCTGTCCGGGCCTCGCACACTCTCATTATCTCATTACGCCGCCGGACCAATCAAAACAGGCCTGAGACAAAGAGCGTCGCCGTGGAGATTATGCAACAAAAGTAGAAGAGTGTGGAACAGTGTACGAGTCTCACTCTGGAGCGGGATTAAAGGCGGTTTACCTCACACGACATCGCCCAGCGCCGCGTCACGCCAAGTCCACACACGTCCTGTTTGGGTCTGTGTGTGTGTGGTACTGGGGGAACGCGACGAACTACAACTAAACTAAAGTACGGTACTTAAGTACTGAAGTATCTGTACTTTCTAAAGTGGATAATGTATTTTTCAGACAATAAGTCACACTTTTTTCATGGTTTGGGTGTTTCCTGCAACTTCCATCCATCCATGCATGTTCTTCCTCTTATCTGAGGTCGGGTCTCGGGGCCAACAGTCTAAGCAGAGACTCCCAGACTTCCTTCACCCCAGACACTTCCTCCAGCTCACCACCACCAGCACCAGACATAGTCCCTCCAGTGTGTCCTGGGTCTTCCTCAGGGCCTCCTCCTGATGGGACTTGAACACCTCCTGAGGGAGACGTCCAGGAGACATCAGAACAGACGTCCTCCCCTCAGACGCTCCTCTACACGTGGAGGAGCAGCGGCTCTACTCCGAGCTCCTCCCGTGTGACTGAGCTCCTCTCTAAGGGAGCGCCCAGACACCCTGCGGAGGAAACTCATTTCAGTCGCTTGTATCGGCGATGTGACAATCTTTGGTCTTCCAGAAGACTTCTCCAGCTCTTCACCGTTACAGCTGCAGGTTTTACATTGGAAATCAACAAAAGCCCCACCCAATGGAGTAAGTAAGTCTTTATTTCTATAGCACTTTTCACAGACATTTTTGTCACAAAAACGCTTTACAGATCATTATTCAGCATTATTCATTTACTCTGTACCTGCTGATGGTAAACTACTACTGTAGCCACAGCTGCCCTGGGGCAGACTGACAGAAGCACTGCTGCCAATCTGCACCATTGTCCCTCCGACCACCACCAACACTCACACTCACACCACTTTCATACTAGGCAATGTGGGTGAAGTGTCTTGCCTAAGGACACAACAACAGTTTTGTGACTGGCGCCTCCTGTGGCTCCTGATTTTCCCAGTGTCTCCATCCAAGTCCAGACCCAGACCCAGACCCAGACCAGACCCAGACCCAGACCTGCTGAACTCCTGAGATCTGACGGGATCAGACTTTGTCCTTTTTGAAAGTAGAGATTGTTTCCTCCAAGAAAGGAACATAAAGACATTTTTTAGAAAGTGGCAGCCATTTATTGACTTTTTAAAAACAGTCTAAACCTTTTTATTTTATTTTATATTATTTATGTATTTATTTTATTTTTATTTGTTATTAATATTAGCAGTAGTATATTTTTATCATTTTATTATTATTATTATTATTATTATTATTATTATTATTATTATTATTATTATTATTTTATATATTTTATTTGTATTTGTTTTTAATATTAGTAGTAGTATATATATATTTTTTATCATTCTATTATTATTATATTGTATGACTCTACTCTTATTTCTTGAGTGATTTGTTTTTGTTAGTTACTTTATAAGTTATGTTTTATCTGCATAAAAATGAAAAAAGTGTGAACATGTGTCGTTTGAATGAATCTGTTTACAGATGAATAAAAACACATGAAACTGAAAACACGTCTCGCTTCACTTCAAATAAGAAAAACAACGACTTTTTGCTCTTAAAATAAGAAACAACCACCGGAAAAGTTCCACAGTGCAGCTTTGTAAACAGAAAATTCCATCAGTTCTGACCCGTCTCCAGATGGACTTTAAACTCTAAATATTAAAGAACGTTGTGATGTCGTGAGAACTCGACCACGGGCGACATTTTGAGGACGTTTTCCGCTCAAACACAGGAGTTGGGGGTGAAGGGACGGAGCAGCGGGTGGATTCTTGACCCCGGAGCAAAAATGTGACCTCCATCAGCGCCCGGATCACAACCAGGTCTGAACCAGGACCCGGACTCAGGACCCGGATCAGGACCAGGATCAGGTGCTCCATCCATCTCCTGCTCCTCTCGTCTGGAGTTCAGAGGAGGGACAGGCAGGACTGAACCAGGACTAAACCAGGACTGAACCAGGACTAAACCAGGACTAAACCAGGACTGAACCAGGACTAAACCAGGACTAAACCAGGACTAAACCAGGACTCCAGGACTAAACCAGGACTCTAAACCAGGACTAAACCAGGACTAAACTAAACCAGGACTAAACCAGGACTGAACCAGGACTAAACCAGGATTAAAACCAGGTCTAAACCAGGTCTAAACCAAGACTAAACCAGGACTACACCAGGATTAAAACCAGGTCTAAACCAGGACTAAACCAGGTCTAAACCAGGACTGAACCAGGACTAAACCAGGACTAAACTAGGATTAAACCAAGACTAAACCAGGACTAAACCAGGACTAAACCAGGACTAAACCAAGACTAAACCAGGACTAAACCAGGATTAAAACCAGGACTAAACCAGGACTAAAACAGGACTAAACCAAGACTAAACCAGGACTAAACCAGGACTAAACCAGGACTAAACTAGGACTAAACCAGGACTAAACCAGGACTAAACCAAGACTAAACCAGGACTAAACTAGGACTAAACCAGGACTAAACCAGAACCAGGACTAAACCAGGTCCGAACCAGGACTAAACCAGGTCCGAACCAGGACTAAACCAGGACTGAACCAGGTCTGGACTGGGTCTGTCACATTCTGTTGGTCTCATGTGGATCAGATGACCTCATGTTTCTGTCACCACCAACATGACGTACTCCATAATACTGCACATACTACAAGTACTACACATACTACAAGTACTGCACATACTACAAGTACTGCACATACTACAAGTACTGCACATACTACAAGTACTACACATACTACTACTACTACTGCACATACTACAAGTACTACACATACTACTACTACTACTGCACATACTACAAGTACTGCACATACTACAAGTACTACACATACTACTACTACTACTGCACATACTACAAGTACTACACATACTACAAGTACTACACATACTACTACTACTACTACTACATACTACATACTACATACTACACATACTACACTACTACTGCACATACTACACATACTACAAGTACTGCACATACTACTACTACTACTGCACATACTACAAGTACTACACATACTACAAGTACTACACATACTACAAGTACTACACATACTACTACTACTACTGCACATACTACAAGTACTACACATACTACTACTACTACTGCACATACTACAAGTACTACACATACTACAAGTACTACACATACTACTACTACTACTGC